CAATGCATGCCAAGAACTTAAGTACTTGACTATATGATGTGAGTATTGTACGTTATGGATGTGATTGTGCTTGTACTGTGATGCATGGGATCGGATGTCATGTACCAACATACTAACTTGCATTGGATCGAGTGCTCTGTTCCGGCACACTAACTGGGATTGGATGTCATGTACCGACATACATATTGCATTGGATCAGGTCCCACGATCCGGCATAATAACAGTTTGGGCTTGGGTTCCATGAGAGGGCCATTGACTTGTATTATACGTGTAATTGTATGTATTATTGATAATGTGGAATTGGACATGTGTTTTGAAATGATTGGTGGATTGTACATTATGCTCTTATAGGTGAGGGTTACGATGTTGTAAGTTAACTGGATATATCTAGTTGTGTATTAAATCGTGAAAGGTAGAGTCCCAATTCGATTGTAGTATGGTAAAGGGGAACTAAGGGTCCCGGTGCTATCTTTGTTAATTGCAATGTGGTCATGGGTATTATTTGAGGTTTGAGGTGGTAACATAAGCGGATAGTAAGCCTCGATAGGCGTAATATGGGGTCATAGGTTGAGTGGAGATGAGGGAAGCGTAAGGGTATGACATGAATGGTTGGTTGGTTGGTAGTAGTATATACGAAATTTCCTTAGCGGATTGATTGATGTATTGGGTGTAATCACGAACGAAGTAAGTAAGGGATTAGAGGCAAGTGAATTAGTTGATGTTAATAATTCGGAAGAGTAAGGGTAGTCAAAGGGGAAGGGTGGAGGAACAATTAGTCTTATTGTATGTTTCACCAGTTGATTTCTTAGATTATGCGGTGGGTATTCGGGTTGATCGATGATGCCTACCAATACGTGTGGTTGTACTGATACTACTCTTGCTATGCCTTTTTGGGGCATAGTCTAGTTGCAGGATCAACGATGTTTCATAGGTGAAGACGAAGGCAATCCTCCAGCAGCTTCTATTTTTCCTTCCGCATGATGGAAACTGTGTTTTATCATTATTATGTTTTACTTTGTACTCTTAGTAGCTCTTGTACCTATTTAGACTAGATCTTTGGGATTTAATTACTTTACAAGTCTGAACTCTGAGTCGCTTTAAACTCTTGTTTATTTTTATATTATACGAACTTCTTTTAATTGCCAGTTTTCTTAATTTTCCGCATATTTTAATTATTGGGAATCGAGGGTTCTTCTACTTAGGTGTTAGAGTAGGTGCCCGCACGGCCCAGTGGGTTGGGTCGTGACATTTCTACACTGCTGGTGGTGAAGGTTATTATTTAGTGCAAGACAATCACCATGATTGAAATTTCTTCCTCCACCACGACCACGGACACGACTGGGGCCACGACCTTTTCCACGCTTAGATTGGTGGAAATTTGCCGCATTCACTTCAGGAAATGGCATAGAATCAGTAGGTCGAATTTCATGGTTTTTCATCAGTAAGTCATTATGTTGTTCAGCAACAAGGAGATGTGAAATTAATTCTGAATATTTTTTAAATTCCATTTCTCGGTATTGTTGCTGCAGGAGCATACTCGAGGCAGGAAAAATGGAAAATGTTTTCTCTAGCATATCATGGTCAGTGATATTTTCTCCGCATAATTTTAATTGTGAGATGATTTTAAACATGGAAGAGTTATACTCACTGATAGATTTAAAATCTTGAAGTCTCAAATGGATCCAGTCATAACGTGCCTGTGGAAGGACGACCAACTTCAGGTGGTCATATCTATCTTTTAAATTTTTCCACAACACCAGAAGATCTTTAACAATGAGATATTCCATTTTTAAACCCTCATCAAGGTGATGGTGGAGAAATATCATTGCCTTGGCACAATTTTGATTCGATGCCTGATTTTTTTTTGGATGGTGTCTGCCAGATTCATCGCATCAAGATGAATTTCTGCATCTAGTACCCATGATAGATAGCTTTTTCCCAATATGTCTAAAGCATGAAATTCAAGTTTAGAAAGATTTGACATTATTTAAGAAAGGAAAATTTATACCTTCGAGGCTTTTAAAGTTTTTACTTGAACTGGCAGAGACTTGTGCTAATAATGTGTTAAAAAAAATTAAAAATAAAAAACTAAAAGGAAGATAATATTGAGAGAATGTACTGTATTTTTCCTTCTTCGTTCGTATCTTTTTAAATGAAGTAGCAAGCCTTTTTATAGGCAATGTAAATTGGGCAGTGAATGGCTGACAGAAGCCATCCACTACTTTGCAGAAGATGTGCACAATTTCCACAATTCAACACTCCAATACACATACTATCCACATACCATATTGCTGCATGCATAGCTCAAATAAGAGGAGGCTTCATAAAAGGAGATAGAACGAAGTAGATTTCACCAAAATTATTCTTCACACATGATCTCCAGAAGAATGGTGATATTGATGTACAACAAATTCGTTCAAGTGATAATCCAACAGATTTATTCACCAAATCTTTACTATCCTCAACTCTTGAGAAGATGGTACGCAAAATTGGAATGCGAAGACTTAACAATATAAATCATGGTCTTCATCAGGGGGAGTAGAATACCCGTTGTACTCTTTTTTCCTTAGTCTAGGTTTTGTCCCATTGAGTTTTCCTAGCAAGGTTTTTAATGAGGCAACAAGAAATGCGTATTTAAAGATATATGTACTCATTTTCCTTCCCTAAAGTTTCTTTAGTTAGGCATAGACATCCAAGGGGAAGTGTTGTGAACATGTGGATGCCACAATATGATATGTGGATAGTATGTGTATTGGAGTGTTGAAATTGTGCACATCTTGTGCAAAGTAGTGGATGGCTTGTGTTAACCATTCACTGCCCAATTTACATTGCCTGTAAAAGGGCTTGCTACTTCATTTAAAAAGATACGAACGAAGAAGGAAAAATACAGTACATTCTCTCAATATCATCTTCCTTTTAGTTTAGTTTTGTTACTTTTAGTTCTTTTATAACATGTTATATATTCTAATGGTTATTTAGATCTTACTTGGTCACACAATTGATAATATACTTTTACTTTTTACTAATTATAATTATTTTAACATACATCTAGCGCGAGATGTGATTAAGTGAAATTTATTTCTTTAAATGTTTATACACAATATAATCCGAATAAGCGAGAACATATAACACAATTTTTTAAAATTTAATTATTAAATAAATAAAGACAAAATAAGAATAAAATATGAAGATAACGACGCAATTATACCAAATCAGTCGTTACATAAAATGAGTCTTTTCATCGTTAACTAAGAATGGATTTAAACGATACGATATAATAGAATTTAAGCATTAATCAAAACAAGGTGTTAAGGATGGATTCCTATGACGTGGGATCGACAATTGCTTACGTTCGCCGGAGCTATGATTTGGTGTTATTTGATTTATTATCTTGCTGATAACTACCTAAGGCCATGGGTTAGAAGGGTTAAAAAAATTTAAAGTTTTTTATGTAGGGTGGGGGATTGGGGTGAAGAGTGGGGTTAAGATTTTGATTTTGAAGGTTTTAATAATATTCCTACTATAATATGGGTATTCATAATTATTCATATTATCTATTGGGTAATTCGTTTTTATCAATTTAAAATATGAATCGAGTCGAATATATTTTTACACATTTAAAATAAGAGGGTATTTAAATATCCATGTAATTACAATGTTAAAATAAATTGTGCTGCCAAATTTAAGGGCGATTTGATGTATTTTCTCAAATTAGAAATCAATGAAGAAAGTTTTGTAATAACCTAATTTGAACAAAGAACGGTATGAATAAACTCAACGGAGAAGAGATTAAATTCATACATGAATAATCTTATTTAATCTTAGTTCAAGAGAAAATAATATTCATCCTATACTAGTTATACTATTATATTAATTAAGATAAGATAAAACATAAATATCCTTAATTATATATTTATATTCGTTCTTTATTTTTTAATACCTTTTTGAAACACTCTAAACTTTTGATGTCAAGTAGAAATTCTTACATATGCAATGAATACTTTTCGAATTTGCATTATTGTCCTCTTCTTGAAAATATTCCGAACTTGGATTTGAACCTTGCAAAAAAAAAGAAAAGAAGCTAAAATGCTTCCTGGTCACCCCCCAGCCCCCCACCCCACCCCTTTATCTGTTAGGTTATATTTTACTTATTTTCTTCGTCTCATTTTATGTAATATTATTTGACTTGATATTAAGTTTTTATTTTTAAAAAATATTTATAATTTAAAATAATTTAGATATTTTTGTGATTATGAATTATTTCATTAAGAATATAAATAAAGTTATAAAGTTAAAATTATTTTTAATAATATTAAAATAATTTATTTTTTAAAACGAAAAAAAGAAGAAGAAGAAGCGCATGAAATGAAAAGAAAGGTGTATATATTTTGTTGAGAATAATTAAGAAAAATAAAATGAGCCAAGTAAATTACTCCTTCTTTCTTATTTATACGTCGTTTTTACTAACTTGTATTTCAAAATCAATGCATAAATGACATTATTTTTTCTATTTAACCTTGAGAGTTATTTACTTTGAAAATATAAATTTGACCAACATAAGAAAACTAAATAATGTAATTCATGTTTATTGATCAATTTATTTAATCAAAATAAATTAATTCATGCTCATTAATTGAAAAACTCATTTCCAAATAACACAAAATAAGATTATAATGATAAACCTACCAATTTTTATTTTTTTAAAAAAAGCTAAAAGCTAAAATAGTGATAAGATGTGATTATGAGTGTTATTAAATGGTAAGATGAATACAAATTCTCAATTGGAAGGCAGGTTCCTAAAGGGCCCATAACTAAAGAGGATCAGAGAAAATTCAAAGGCTACAAAAACGTGCATGAGGTGACTTTCATGATTGAGTTAAATGACAGAAATGCCCTTAATCATCCCGCCAGAAAACCCTAAGCCTATTTCCTTAGATTTTATAAAAACGTGTTGCGCCTCTTTCCTTATATATATAGTATATAATAAAAACGTGTTGCGCCTCTTTTCTCTCTCGCCGTTGGCCATTTCTTTCTTTTCTCTCCGTTTACACATTTCCGATAGGGAGAAATGTCATCCTCAATTACAAATTGCTGCCATTTCTATGTTGAACGTGCCAGAACAACAAACAGGTATGTATGTTGCTCGACATCAACAAAGTTTTGTGCCTTATCGTCAAATGATGATCAAGTTCTTAATTTCTGTACTGTGAATTGATTATTGTTTGCTAACAGGAGAACTGCAACATGGAAGTCACCAAGAGCAGCAGTAATTCCATGTATCCACCTCCCGATGCGCAGTAATGAAGTTAAAAATAGGTAATATCCACCTGCAGTTGATTTGGGATTAAATGTGATCTATCATATGAACAAGTTTTTTTTTTTCCTTTTCCTTCAGTATTCTTACTGTTGTGCGATTGACTGGTTGAAGTGCACACTGGTTTTGTGCATTATTGGATAATGCCACTTCCTTGTGTTTCTTGTTTGGGTATGCCAGACAATAGTACATGACATCTTGATTATTTTTGTATAATTGGAATGTAGTGGTGAAATGGTTAGGAAAAACTATAGGTTGTTGGAGATGATAGAAGAAATAATGTAGTATATTCACCAATTTTACTTACGAAAATAAGTACAGTGAACATCAAAATTGACTTAATTGTAGTAGATAACACAATTTGTAGTTGGCAGATTCAAAGTTTGTAAACCGTGTTGCTGTCACGATCCAAAAACACAAGTCAATTATTGGGATAGGTAAGCCAATCCCAATAATTTTATCGTTTCAATTTAATAAACCAATTGGAAAAGTAAGTGACAAGCAAAATATCAGAAACACAAAGTCTTTCACAAAATGAAATGCAGAAAAAATGAAATACCATCCAAGATTGGTGTCATAACGACTTGTGTTTTTGGGTCATGACTATTTGATATTAGAGTAGGTAAAGAGTTGTGACAATTCAAAATCGCGTGATAAGGAAATAACCAATCAATTTCTAGGATAGCATCAAAGTCTATCATATTTAAGACCTTCAAATTTGTTTGGGCATCATATCTCATCAAAGTAACTACACACAATCGATATTCCACGATGGAATCCCCAACAAGAGTAGAAACATGTACATGCAAATAAAGTGACTCACATAACATATCCAGACTCGAAGCAATGTATGTAGACATATAAGAATATGTTGAGCTTAGTTCAAATAGTATTGTAACCGATCGATGGCAAACTGGAATAATACATGTGATAACATTAGATGAGCCTATGCTTCTGGCCTACTCAGAAAATCATAACAATGGGCACAACCGCTCTTAGACTATAAACATCCACGACCACCACCACGGTCGGAATGGAAACCACATTTGACTAATAAACATGTCATGTGCATTGATAAGCAAAAGATGTTTAGAAGGTTTAGGATGTTGAATCATCTGACCTAGGAGTCGAGGTTACTTAGGGAGGGGTTATCACCCTGTCTGACAAACCCATTCATACCATTGTCTGAGATTATGTCGGACGTAGTACTTCCAGTTCAATACAAACTTCATAGTGCTCATCATTGTGACCTTTAGGCCGTGGAGGGCATTCAGGTTCCTCACATTAGCCTATGCCCCGTAGGGGTTGTTTAGAGTGTGGTGACACGGGACATTTCGTGATTGTCCCCAGACAGACATGGTAGTTTTCATGCTTTGACTTCTAAGGCCAGGGGCGAACCCACGTGTTGTCCAGGGGGTTCACCCGAACCCCCTCGATAAAAAATTACACTGTATATATAAGGTGAATTTTCTGGATTTATGTGGATATATATATTTTGAACCCCCTCAATGACAAGGTGAAGGAGATTGCCCAGCGGCAGCTCCCTTCAATATTAAGCCTGACGTCCAGGGATCGAATCCCTGGGTTAGCGTTTTTTTTTTTAGTTTTTTACTTTCAGTTCCAGTTCCGATTTTCATGGTTTTTTTAGTTTTTTTTTTTTAATAAAAAGTGCTAAAATGTGGTGTTAAACCCAAAAAATTCAAGGGTCCCATACTCCCATTCCTGAAAGCTAATTACTTTTTCACTTTCCAAATCCCTAAATCACTTTCTTGTTCTTCCCCAACACTCAAAACTCAAATATTAAAATCATCTCCCATAATATTCTATTGTTGATTTGACATATTTTAAAGGACTAACTTTTGTTTCACTGTAATCACTTATGTTAGTTTCGGATTTCTTGTAACGAAACTAACTTTTGTACCTATAAACTATATACTACTACTTCCTTGAATTTGTTTTTGTTGGCTTATTTACACGTTTATACTTTTATTTTTCGAACCCCCTGAATGAAAATCCTGGGTCCACCACTGTCTAAGGCTGCTCAACCTCCGATATGGGGAGGTGCACAAAGTGGTAGAGGCGGTTCTCATACGGGGAGAGGTGGATTCCATTCCGGTCGTGTGAAGTCTGAGGGCGATCATGCCTAGTGTTATGCATTTCCGAGTAGGGCAGAGCTTCAGATGTTGTTCTCACATTTATTATTCCAGTTTGTCATCGGTCGACTACAATATTATTTGATTCAGGCTCTACTTATTCTTATGTGTCTACATAATTTTCTTTGAGTTTGGACATGTTCTGTGAGTCGCTTGATTTGCCTATACATGTTTCTACTCCTGTTGGGGATTCCGTAGTGGTACATCGGTTTGTGTGTAGTTACTTTGATGGGATATGATACTTAAGCGAATTTGAAGGTCTTAGATATGGTAGACTTTGATGCTATCCGTGGAATGGATTGGTTATCTCCTAATCACGCGATTTTGAACTGTCAAAACCTTTTTACCCACTCTAATACTAAATTGTCATGATCCAAAAATACAAGTCGTTATGACACCTATGTTCCCAACCGATAGGTTAGCCAAACCCAATAGTTTTATCAATTTAATAAATCAGAATAAGAGATTAGAAGGCAATGGTGGTTCCTTGATCATAGTTTTATCATCTATTTGTGCGTGTGATTTGATGAATTGTTCGCCTGTTTGACATGTTATTCCTAGCCTTGTAATGAGGTCAGTTTTAGATTTCATACAGTTAGTCTTCCGTGAATTAACAGTATTAGGAACTATCTAGTATATTGAATGCTTAGGTATTGTCAACAAAATGGGACATGCATTATCATCTTGTTCTGATGAGCTATTAGCAACAATCGATGATATGCATTGGAAATGATAAACATTTCCCTGTAGGTAGCAATCGATGATACATGCTTTCCGTTTAGTTAACACAAACAGCTAATAGGTGAATATCAACATCAAGGAAATTTACAGGAGATACAACCACAATGTTAACATAAATTCATTTAACCTTCTCTTATGCAGGACATTTGCCGAGGACATAAAAAAACTTCGATTGATTACTGCAATTAAAACCCCATATCTACCAGATGGAAGATTCGATCTTGAGGCTTATGACGCCTTAGTAAATTTGCAAATTGAAAATGGTGTCGAGGGTGTGATTGTTGGTGGCACTACAGGTGAAGGTCAATTGATGAGCTGGGATGAACACATCATGCTCATTGGTCATACCATCAATTGTTTTGGTGGATCAATTAAAGTCATTGGAAACACAGGAAGCAACTCCACGAGGGAAGCAATCCATGCGACAGAACAAGGATTTGCTGTAGGTATGCATGCAGCTCTTCACATTAATCCTTACTATGGGAAGACCTCCATAGAGGGTTTGATTTCTCACTTTGACAGTGTGCTCCCTATGGGCCCTACTATCATTTACAATGTGCCATCACGAACTGGTCAAGACATTCCCCCTCATGTAATCCAGACATTAGCAAAGAGCCCTAACCTTGCTGGTGTCAAAGAGTGTGTAGGAAATGATAGAGTGGAGCAGTATACAAGTAATGGGTTGGTTGTGTGGAGTGGGAATGATGATGAATGCCATGACTCAAGGTGGCATCATGGTGCTACGGGAGTTATTTCTGTCACCAGCAACTTGGTTCCTGGTCTGATGCGTGATCTAATGTTTGGAGGAAATAACCCTGTTTTGAACTCAAAGCTAATGCCCTTGGTTGAATGGTTGTTTCATGAGCCAAACCCCATTGCTCTGAATACAGCTTTAGCTCAACTTGGGGTTGTGAGGCCTGTTTTTCGCCTTCCCTATGTTCCACTTACAAAGGCAAAGAGAGAGGAGTTTGTGAAGATTGTTGAGAAAATTGGACGGGAAAACTTTATTGGGGAAAGAGATGTCCAAGTTTTGGATGATAATGATATTTTTTTGGTTGGTAGGTATTAGTTTTTCCCCAATTGGTATTGAGAAGTAAGTTTTTGTTGTTAGCGGCTTAATTTGAAAAATTTCTTGACATGAAGATATCTTCTTTATGTTGTTTTTTACACGCATTCTTCTTGTTTGCTTTTCTCTTTTGGGAGGCATGTACATTGTAGCTGTTAGTTTCTGGACTGGATCATTTTCTTCTGTTTTCTCTGTTTACGGACTAGATCCTGGTTAATCTTCTTCTGCCTCGGCATGTTGTGGTGTATTGGTCAACTTTCTCCGAAGTACTTTATATAGATGAAGAGAAGAGTTACTATAATTTGTTTTAGAGGGTTGCAGTATATGGTTTACTTTTGCAACATCAGCAGAATCTGCCTTATCACAGTGCAAATAATTATGGTCACTTAACTTCAGCTACTCAATTATAAGCAACTTTCTGTATAGAGCTGGGAACATGAGTGTACTATAGTATCGTAAATTTTCTTCTACTTATTGCTTTAAGATATACATAAGATTAGCTCATGTGCCTAAAAAGATTCATAAAAAATGGGACTTTAGTTCATGACTATAGCTGGCAAGATTTTGCTGTTATATAGTCGTGTGATCATCATGATTCCACTTTAGTTTCGCGTCTTCTTGTATTAGTATTGACATGTTTATTAGTCTAATCCATCCCCGTTTAGGGACATTTTGGAGTATAATGCTGGTCTTCCAAACATCTGCATATAATTGAGGCATTGTAGAAAACATCATATTCCTTTGGAAATTACATATGTTATCCATTGTATTGAGGAGCCGAGGATCATACACTATTGCTTATTAAGCAAGGATCATACCATCCTAGTGTTAGTCTTATCAAGTTACTATAGTTGGTCATCTATGAGAAGGATGAAACAGAGAAAGGATTGAAATCAAAAGAAGAAAATGCTACTTTTAAACAAATTTTTCTAGCAATAGCCAATAGTCTCTCCATTTACCATAAGGAAAAGAAAAAGACGAAGTTGCATTGCCTGAGTAGATTTTGTCAATAGCATTGTGGATTTGGTTGCCCTCACTATGATAATGATGTTAACAACATAAACATTGGTTGAACCAGAGTTGACGGATAGATGGTGACAAGAACATGCTCTTTCAAGTTTTGTATAATTGGTGAATATTTAAAGGAATTAACTACAAATTTGAAATATAAATGTCTTTAAAGATGAGGGAAAGCACTTGGTTTATTCTTTCTAAACAAGAGGGGTTTGAGGAAGGAAGCATGTAATTTATTCTCCTAAAGTCAATTAACTTGCACATACTGTCACATTGGTTCACTTTAGGAAGGAAAGTATTTACTCATGGTAATGTGGTGACGTATAAAGAACTTACTCAAGAAAGTGCCACCAAAATTGAAGTGTCGATTGGGTGGTTTTGGCCATTATAGGAGTAATAAGCATAGGTTTAGGCTGAATTAGAGCAGTACTATCCCTAATTCAACGAGCTCTGCCATGTGTGTGATTTCAGAAGAAACGATCACAGACTTTGAAGCTTTAATGGAGCAAGGTAATAAATATACTACTCTCTCTTGATATCTCCTTCAACACTGTTAATTTGCTGTTCCTGACCCCTTTCATTTTAAGCAGTTGATGAAACACTCAAAACTACTTTTCAGGTTCGTGTTCTAACGTTCTTCCCTTTTTCCGACTTTCTTTCTCTCTGAACTGCCCCTTAATGCTATGTAGAGTTCAATTTCCTGTACTTTCTTCTCATGCTTACGCCTGTATTACTATATCTTAATTCAGCTCTGTTCTTAGGAGTTTTAGCTGTCAGTTGAGACTAGTCATACTTAAACGACGTTAACCTGATAACTGATTCACCATCTAGCCTTGTGATGGTTCTGAAACTCTATTTGACTTTAATCTGCATTCCTTTCCATTTCAGCCTCTGTAATCCTGTAAACAATAGTTTATCCGTTTTATATCGTTAATTAGAATTCTACTATTGGTTCCAGTATTTTTCCTATTAAAAAGTAAAAAAGAATAAACAAATGAATGAAGCATTTCATATGTTCTCATGGATTTTTAAGCCAGTTAGTGAGATTACCCATGTACTCGCTGCTCCTTTGTGGCACGTAATGTATACTTTTACTGCTTCTTTGTGACATGTTTGCAGACTTCCTTACATTTTTCTTTCATTTCGTTCATAGGGCTTAACAACCCAACTGATTTCTGTCATTATTGCTCTAACATTTACATTTCTTTTTGGAAAAAGGATTAAAGTGAAAGAAACTAATAGACTTATCAAAACAGAAGAAAGTTAAAGAAACCAAGAAAGCCTCATCATCCCGAAAAGTTTTCTAATGCTCATTCATTGAATTAGAGAAGCTTTTTTTGTTTTTTTTTAAAAAAAATATATTGAGGAAAATTACTATGCTTATATCTTATTTGGTGAAAGCATGAGTTCTCTTTGAGAATTGATGATCTGTTAGGATTCAGTGAGGTTTGTTGCATTTGGGACTAGACGATTCTGGAATATTGCGTTGCCAGAGTAATAGTAGCTACATCAGTCTCTAGAAAATATACAATATCCAAATAGAACACTAAAACTGAGTCCAATAGATGTTTTGTGATCGTGAATTGTTACCAACTGAGGCTTGGTTGTCCAAACAAAGAGCTGTAGATGAATATGAAAATAGCTTAATAATGCTGACCACTTTATTTCTTGACATCATCGTATGGGCTGGTATCTAAGATTCATGTCATAACTTTCATTGTGTGCGACTATTCTTAGTTCAGCTAAAACTTTGAAGTATGATAGAATCAGTTGAAATTAGATTGGTCACTCATTAAGTTTGAAATTTTGCCTTCCATGTATGGAATAAGATGGTCAGGTGTATTTGATACTTTTTTTTTTCTCCAAATGTTTCAGTTGCTTGATTCTTTGATGTTTAAGGGTCCTAAATGAGATAGATGATATTTTGGCAGTGAGCATTATGGAATCTTGTTATTGCTGTTAAGCAATCAGGTTTAGCCTATGTTGCTTGTACTCTTTAGAAATGTTGACGGATGCGTGTGGGGTGTATAAGTAATTGAGCAAGATGAAGCAAAAGATTGTTTGGTTAAGAAAGATGAAACAGAGAAAGGATTGAAAATCAAAAGAAGAATATGCTACTTTTAAACAAAACTTTCTTGCAATAAGTCTCTCCATTTACCATAAGAATAAAGAAAAAAAACAAAATTGCATGGGTTGAATGGTTCTTTCATGAGCCAAACCCCATTGCCATGGATAGAGCTTTAGCTCAACTCGGAGTTGTGAGGCCTGTCTTTCGCCTTCCATATGTTCCACTTACAAAGGCAAAGAGAGATGAATTAGTCATCCTGTTTGTTGTCTATGTGGTGCTATAAATGAAAAAATATAATCAAGGGTAACATGTCCCTCATCGACTGGAACAAAGGAATAAAGGGATTAAAATTGGTATAAGAAAAAAGGTATGAGCTCCAAGAAACATACTTACTTGAACGGGGTCAATGGGTGATCAATAAGGCCCATGACCTAGGTTGGTGACCTCCATTGCACTCTGGAGGGGTGCCCGCCTAAGGTCGGCCCAAGTGGTCGAGCCTACGTCATAATTTGCTGCAGCGGGGGCCTACGTTCGTGCGGCCCCTACCCAATTCTAAAACAAAATTTTAACATATTTCACCTTGTTATAGAAGTAAACTTCCAGTGAATAATGTCATTGCCAAAAGCAAACTTGGACAAACTCATTGAGTCCAGCATTCTTGCTGTAGCTTATAGATACACAAAAGATGAAAAACTATAAGCCATTTTATTTATGGAAAACACTTTGCAGATTGTTTGTGTATGAGTTGTTGAATAATGGGACATTAGCAAGTTTCCTTTTTGGTGATCTAACATTGACATATACGGAATCAGAGGCTCATGTAGCTTGGGATCTCCAGGGGACTCTTGTATTTGCACGGGTGCTCGTGTAGCACACGGATCATCCATTGTGACCTAACGCCTAAAGAACATATACACTTCTTGATGATCCAAGAATATCAGATTTTGGATTAGCAAAGTTACTGAAGATGGATCAACCCGAGACTCAAACAGCGATAATTGACAAGAGGAACGAAAGGATATGTTGCACCATAATGGTTTCGGGACATACCAATCAAGCTTTTTGTGTTCTACTCCTAGAAATCATCTTATGTAGGAGAAATGTGGACTTTGGTGAAGAAAGAGCAAAATGGAAGTTACATGATTTGCTCATATACCAGGGTTCATAAGATTTTATTATTTTGTTAAAACTTTTCCAAGAGTGGCATTTTTTCTCTTAAGAGATCCGAAAAAGATTTGTTTATTGTGCATATTAAGTGCTTTTAAGAGAGCTGTAAAGATGTGTTTGTTGTTTATGTGGTGCTATAAGTTGAAAAATAAAATCAAGGGCAAAATGTTCCTCATCGACTGAAATGAAGAAAACAGAATCTGGATGGATATAAAAGGATAGGAAGGAGCCACATGAAACATACTTACCAGGATGGGGTCAATGGGCGATCAATAAGACCCATGGCCTAGGCTGTTGACTTCCATTGCACTTTGGAAGGATCTCCGCCTAAGGTCGGCCCAAGTGATTGAGCCTACGTCATAATTGGTGATAGTGGGGGTCTGCCGCGCGGCTCCTTCCCAATTCTTAAACAAAATTTAATTGAGATTCTAGTTTGTTGAAAATAGAATGCAGGCCCTTCACTTGAAAGTAGTCCAGTTGTGCGCTTAATTTTAATTTTAATTTTTAGAGGTAATTATACTAGTGACAATTACATGTTAGTACTCATCTAATGGTAAATTTTTTAGCATTCTTTGTTAATATGCATATTTATTGTTGCTAAAAACTTTTCTTGTTGTAGTGTTTCCCTCTCAACTTTCAACTGAAATTACGAGTTCGGCAGAACACAAGGTAGTGTTGGCTTAAACCCTATCCACTCCACTTTGTGTTGGTTTCAAAATCTTAGCTTGAGACTAGGGATGGCAATGGGGCGGGGGCAAATGCGTGACAGGGTGGGTTTAAGGCTATGCGAGGAGGGATGAGTTTAAGGTTGTGCAGGGCGGGTTGAAGTGTGTTGTTTGAAACTAATGCGGGCTGGGGCGGTTGCGGATGTGTGTGATTTTATGCGGGTTCAAATTTAATTTTAACTTTTTACATGTTATAAGAGTGATAGAGCATTATTTATTAAGATAATTTTTTTAAAGCTACTAAAATATTCAAGATAGTAAAGGAAAATAGTTCAATAAAAAATAATACGATTTCTTACATGTTTCCCAATTGACCTCTAACAAATAATTTTTTAA